CCCGATCCCGCTGGTCCTCGGGTCCCGGCCCTTGGGGCTGCCTGGTCCCTAGGCCGGCGGGACCTCGCCGAGCCCCGTTCCCAGGAGGAGGGCGGCTGAGAACGGTCTGGTAAGGAGCAGCTGTCCTTACACCACACGAGGAGTGCCGCGGTCCGATCGAGAGCCGCCTTTCAGACCACACGGCCGGTTCTCATTGTTAGCGCTCTCCCGCGTCGGACCAACCCATTACTGCCCAAACTGGGAAGCTGTCTCCTGGGAGGCTGGATGCCCTCTTTCCTTTCCTAATAAAACCCAGTTGCTCTCACGGCTTCTCTTCTGAACCTCCCCAGAGTATAAAGGTCTAGAGTTTAAAATCAATTCATCTTAAGGGTCAGAATTCCTGTTTCTGGAGAACACCCAGAACAGTAATGACAGATCCAATCGCCCATCCACGTCCCCACCCCTATCCCCCTAAAGAAAAAAAAAAAAAAAAAAAAATAGGAATCCAGTGGGAATGAGTGAGTGGTCTACCCAGAGACACTGAAATTTAGTTAGTCAAGGAGGGAAAAGCACTTAGGCAGAGCCTGCCACTGAATAAGTGCTCAAAAAATAGTGGCCATAGGTACCCTTGGGCAGACCAGGTCACTCCTGGGACACTGGAGCTGCATTCTGTTTCAAATTCTGGACGGCCATAAGGAGAATAGACAGAATGACCCAATGACCTGCCCACTTGAACATTCTCAAATGGCCTACCTAAATTTCAGCTTAAAAAAAAAGGGGGGATGATATCCCTTAATCAAATTTGTTAATGGGTGGGGAGCAGTTTTTTACATGTCCCTAAGTGAACTGCCACGTTTAAATCAGAATGCCACCTATTCTATTTTGATGATATTTGTTGCTGTGTTTGCTTGGGACTCTCAACTATTTCTAATTCCCTCCTTGGTCCACAAATGAAAGAAAGAAAATTCACTTTTGTGCCATATGAACGAATACCTTCTATTCCCATTCCCTCCATTCTATTCCCTCTATTCCCATGCATGAAAGCACAGAGCCTGGCTGAAAGAATTGATTAGAATTCCTTTCCACCTATTATTAATTTGTTTTTATTTATAGATGTTATTTATCTCTTTCACTAATATATACAGTTGTGTGGGGCATAAAAAGGGTAGACCCTATCAGAGAACTTTCTGTATAATTTCAACTAATGTGTAGCAATAGAAAAGTTAGATATGCCCTTTCTATTCCTTTGTATTTTCTCTGAGAATATAGGTACCAACATAGTAACATCTTTAAAAATAAATCTCGTGAGAAAAAATATTCATACTGTAGATTATTGTTGTTCAAAAGATACCATTATATTCTTTTTTATTCAAGTATAGTTAACATACAGTGTTATATTAGTTACAGGTGCACAATATAATGATTCAACCATTCTATACATTACTCATCCCAGTAAGTGTATTCTTAATCCCCTTCACCTATTTCACCCATCTCCCCCCCCCCCACCCCACAGCAACCACCACATTATTCTCTGTAGTTAAGAATCTGGGTTTTGTTTGTTTCTTTGTTTCTTTGTTTCTTTGTTCCTCTGTTTTGTTCCTTAAATTCCACATATGAGTGAAATCATATGGTATTTGTCTTTCTCTGACTGATTTATTTTACTTAGCATTATATCCTCTAGATCATTCATGTTTTCGCAAATGGCAAGAGTTCACTTTTTTATGGCTGAGTAATATTCCACTATAATATATATCTTCTTCATCCATTCATCTATGGATGGACCTATGGTTGCTTGCTTCCATGTCATGGCTATTGTAAACAATGCTGCAATAAACATGGGGGTGCATAGATCTTTTTGAATTAGTGTCTTTGTTTTCTTTGGGTAAATAAATACCCAGTAGTGGAATTGCTGGATCATACATGGTAGTTCTATTTTTAGTTTTTCTAGAAACTTCCATACTGTTTTCCACAGTGGCTGCACCAGCTTGCATTCCTACCAACAATGCGTGAGGGCTCCTTTTTCTCCACAGCCTTGCCCATGCTCATTATTTCCTATGTTTTTTAGTTTAGCTATTCTGACAGGTATGAGGTGATATCTTACTGTTTTGATTTGCATTTCTCTGTTGATTAGTGATGTTGAGCATCCTATCATGTGTCTGTTGGTCATCCGTATGGCTTCTTTGGAAAAATGTCTACTCATGTGCTCTGCCCATTTTTTAATTGGACTGTTGGTTTTCTTGGTGTTGGGTTGTATAAGTTCTTTTTTATATATCATTATATTCTTAAGTGAATAAGATAGGTAAGGCATGGATTCTATTTGATCTATCCCATTCAGGATTCCTCATATGCTGGTAAACACTGGCTGATACTTAATATGTACAATGGGATTTATACTTGGTTCCTGGATCATTGAGAATCTGCCAGAGCACAGATACACCAGCACTTGCTACTATGTAATTAGTACTAGCCAGCCAGGCCCAGAAAAGGTCCAGAGGTTGAGCAGGACCTTGAGTAGTGGGTCTCAAACTTTAGTATGCAAAACACCTGGGGATGTCTATTGAAAGGATAGATTCTTGGACCTCACCCCAGAACATGTTAGTACTTCCAGAGGGGTCTGGAGCCTGCATTTTGAAAAGTATCATAGGTAATTCTGATGTGGGTAATATGCAGACCTTACTTTAAGAAAACCTGACCTAGAGGTGTCCTGAGATAATTACATTCTTTTCTGGATCCTTCATAATTCTACATTATTTGATCGTATCTGTTCTGATCTGTATTAGTCAGCTTTGGCTGCTATAACAACGTACCACAAACTGTGGAGTTTAGACAACAGAAATCTATTTTCTCACAATTCCGGAGGCTAGGAGGTTAAGATCAAGGTATTGGCAGGGCCACACTCTCTCTGAAGTCTCTAAGGAAGTTCCTTCCCAACAGGGTTGCTTTCTCCTGAGGCCCTTGTCTCTGGTTTGTAGATAGCTGCCTACTTCCTATGTATTAACATGGTTGTTGCTGTGTGTGCACATGTGTCTGATGTCGGTCTCTTTCTGTGTATCTCAATCTCTTCTTATAAGGACACCAGTCACATTGGATTAGGGCCCACCCTAATGACTCCCATTTTAACTTAATTACCTCTTTAAAGGCACTCTCTCCAAATGCAGTCACATTCTGAGGTCCTGAGGGCTAGGGCTTCGATATATGAGCTTTAGGGGACACAGTTCAGTCATAACTGTGTCAGTTCAGTCATAACATCATCCTTCTACTGTTTACACTGCCGAATTTTGCTGTTTAAGTAGCTCCTTATGGAAGGGATGTAGAAGCCCTAATTCTGATTATTTTAACTGTTCTTCTCTTGACTGGCTCCTGCCTCATTAGACTTTTCTTGAAGTTACGCAAACAAAGCAATACACCATATTCCAAGTGTAGATATACCCTGGTCTTTTGTTGTCCGGGGTGAATAAAAGGGCTTATTTTTCTAATCGCAGCACATTCAGTTTCAAGCCAATTCAGTACCTACAATGGTTAGGAATCTGCATTTGAGCTGACTTCAGGGAACAATATCAGATGATGCTTTATTTATTGTATTTCAGAGTTCATTCTAGATATAAAATACCTACCTACGTAAACCTTTTCTTTCCCCTGTCGCCTTTCAACCCACTTAGGTACCCTCCTGAGATGTTTTTTGTTTTGTTTTTTTTGGTAGCTTATTTCCAAAACAGCACAGGCAGCCAGATGTATAAATGCTTTGAATGACTGTAACAAGAAGTTTGAGAAAGCCAGTT